ATGTTTAGTAAATAAATAATAGATTTTTAGCGACTAGTAATTACATTTATTTCATTTGGCGCACAGAAACCATAATCAGCCACCGTCAAACGCGTAATCCGTTACATAAATTTTACAAAAATTACTCGTTTGAACTAAAACTTTTTTGCCAATTTTCAATTGCACGAATTCAAACCGTTTCCAACACACAAAACTTTCATGCATTTCGTTAGCAAAAATTCACTTTATAAAACTTCTTTTTTTTAATTGTAACACGGTGTTTCTTTTTTTCACTTTTCAACCGAACCATGTGCGATTCGCAACTAAACCTATGTGTGAACAACCGAATCACTGGTAATTTTGAAAATATGGAAATTGTAATAATTGATTTTGATAAATTTTCGCTGTTGGTAAGTGCTGATGGCTTAGGGGTACAAGTGATTGATATAATGTAATTGCCTGCCGTAACTTCATATGTACTTTCGTGGCAACAAAAAAAAAAGAAAAAAAAGAAAAAAAGAATGATTAATTTGGCGACAGTTGCTACCTGTTGGAGCGTGTGTTGTGTGTGTTAACACTTTGGCAGATTGATATATACATATATATGAGTCCACCATTGCCTTTAGATATGCATTGTAGCCAGAACAGAAGGTTCGATTATATTTACATTCATATCTATGTAAGCACATATATATATATATATTTGTATGTACATATGTAAACGTACACGTGGCGCTCTGAAATTGATAGGTGACTGAGACGAACACGTGTTTTATATTCATAACAAAAACCTCTTACTTGGTATTAATTTCAAATTAAGTATTTTTTTTTTTTGATTTTTTTTTTCAGAATTATTTGAAAAAATTTGTAAGTATAAAACAATAGATTCAAATAAATTTATGATTAAAGCCTTGTTAACAACAACGTGCCATTCGTTCATTCTTTTCGTCTTTTTTTGCTGCTTGGCGCCAATTGGAAAAATCTAGCACAGCCAGGTCCTTTTTCATCTGGTGTTTTCAATGGAGTGCTGGTTATCTTCCCTTTCCTCTGCTTCCACCAGCGGATACTGCATGGAAAATTTTCAAAGTTTGGGTATACCTATCCAGCCGGACACAACCAAGTCAGCGTTTAATCGTTGAATTATATCAATGTCTAATGAGAGAGGAAGCTTCCGACCTATCCTGTTTAAGGGTCCAGTTAGGTTAATACAGGTTCACCAGAGTTATAGCGGCGAGCGGGCCAGCGTAATCGTTGTACCTTAAATCGTTGAACTGTATCCATTGTCGGCCGCGGTAGCGGAGTGGTTAGCATTGCATACTGCCATTCGGAGAGCTCGGGTTCACAGTCTGGTGTCGTACTAACATCCAGAAAGTTTAGAAAATTAATTTAAATAAAAAATTAAGCTAAATTTTCTGATTGCAGTCGCCCTTCGGTAGGGAATGTCAAACTCTCAGAGTATATTTCTGACATGATATAAAGCTTCTCAAATAAAAAACCATCAGCCAATACCAAAAATTGGAGAACGAGCTCGGCCGAAAATCTCTACAGCGGCTACAAAGCGCCAATATATATTATATAGATTAGGTTTATGGGCCTCTGGGAGTCCTCAGTGCGTTGGCAAATACTTTAGCCGATAGTATATTATACAATATATATATATATACTTATATCAATGTCACCGTATAACTCGTACCGCTGATCGCTCTATCGGCTAAAGTATTTGCCAACGCGCTGAGGACTCCCAGAGGCCTATAAATCTTTCGGAAATCATTTTTCTCTTGTGATCGTTCATGCCTCCGTTCTATAAAGCAGGACGGGTATTATGAGCTACTGGTTCGTCGAGAGAATACTTTACTCTTCAATGATCTACTTCAAAGCAACAATGATTCTGCATTGAATTTCAAGACTAGCGTTTTATTGGTGTTATTTCTGGTAGTTAGAAAGACGATACTGTCTGAGAGACTTCAAAATTTGACTATCAACAGGTACGTGAGAGCAGAGTCTGTTTGAACACAGAAGAGAAGAATTCATCTTATTCCCATACACTACCAGACCTATTTTCTTTTTTCGTGATCTAGTATGGAGAAGGCAGAACTTACCGCATACGCGAGCAACTGTGCACTTTTGTAAAGTACTTTGTACCTTGTCTATTTAGTTCTACAGCTTTTATTTCTTTTCTCCAGAGACCTCCCCCACGTCGCTTTAACTTCCTTTAGAAATTGACTAGGGACGTTACGGCTATATATTCAGCTCCACCGAAGTTATTAGAGAGCCAAAACCTGTGGGAACCTTTCGGCACCGAAACCAAAATTACTTGTCAGGTCTTTACTGCCCCCAGTTCGTTGGCAAAATGAAAAAAAAATCCAATAAATGTGCTTCTCTAAGAAATTATTTATTTCCTTTGTATACATACATACATATACGATGCATAATCACATTGTGTAAACAGGTAACCGTCTCTTTAAGTGTCTCTTTTCGATTAAGCTTTTTCCCAAAGGATGGGCTAAGTATTTCGATGATCCCAATAGCTGAGAGGTTAGCATTGTGTACTCAAAAGGCCCGGTTCGACCAACATCCAACCAGAGCATACTTATATAAGAAAGGGAAGTGATGTGACACTTGGATTCTCCAATCCATGCCGCTTTAATAGGCTTTCCATCACATGACTATGTTGAATCCCGAACAGCAGTTGCCCGGCTGAAGAACAGCAAAGCCACAACAGAGCTATTCAAATAAGGTATCGAACTGCGTTACTTGCCCACAAGATCGTATCAAAGTCGAGAGTCAAGCAGAGGGAAAAGGATGAATACTAATCTACTACTTCTTCAAAAGTACCCCAAAAGTCGCTTAAGCAAACTAAAAACTCTTTTCCTCCAGAATTACTTAATATTTTTATAAATTTTCTGTGAAATAAAAAAGATACATATTTTTTTTTTTTAACAACAAATAACTTTAGAAGGACAAATGTGCTGGCATATGATAAATTTACGGCTGCGGACCCTTACAGGCAAGCAGAAACTAATATAAATAAAAATTGTAAAAATAAATATATAATATGAATGCATGTAATCATAGATAACGTTTGTTTGTTTCAAACCAATTCGAAATTTTCCAAAGTTGTATACATATATACATATGCATATTTGTAGACCTACGAGTCGCATCTAACTTCAGGGCTCTTGTCGCCATTTTCACAACGGAGATTTTGTAAACACAAAATTGTTGGAAAACCAGCAGAGAAGTACACAGTTTCAGTGAGAAATTGTATTAAAATAACAACAAGATGCATATGTTATTATTGTTAATATATTATATAGTGTATATTTATATATGTATGTATGTGCATTGTATACTGATCATAAATTAATGTTGCTGACATCAAAGTTGGCGTTGTCAGTTGTTGAGGTTTGTTTTTATTTTTATTTTTTTTTTTTGCTTTCAACCTTTTTTTAGCGTAAATATTTGCGTCAAAGCACAAACACCTCAGTCATGTAGTATACAGTAAAAACAATAACAAAAATAACAACAACAGCAATAACAATTACAAAAATGTTAGTGATAGTGTCACAGGTGATAGAGAATATCGCTCTGGGGTAGACATAGATGAAATATAGTAGCTAAAGAGTTGTTGTAGCGTAATTTCCACTAATCCACTACTGCAACTTTCAAAATATTCGCCAAATAATCGCATGAATATTTATTTCCATGTGTAAATAGAAGAAAATCCCATCAACGTCAAAAGTGAAGATAATTTAAATAATTTTTCTCAGCCAACCTAAATGTAATACAATATTTGTATTTAAATATTATTCTTTGTACATATATAATTAACGCTTACATAATCATCAGATAGTATGTCTATTTTAAGACGATATGGCGTTTAAATATTTACTAGAGAGAATTCGAAACGCCAACAAAACTAACTGTACTAACTCACAACCCTTCAAAGTAGTTCGTAGCAAGCTCCACATGTGGCACTTTGCAAGAGATGAAATCACATTTTTTCCCCGTTAAGTATTTAGTATAGTATGATATAATGTTTTCGCTGGTAAAATGTTGCTCAAATTATCTATCTTATCAGTGAAACATCAGTCAACCAGCTTTCAGCTAAACCCATCAACGGCGGCAGGCAAATATAAAAAAGCATTATTTATCACCGACTTTGAATAAACTATTGTATTACATTTACACATATATGTATATGTTAATATATATGCAGTGACTAAATATTTTACGTCAGTGTGGCGCTAATGAGTGTTAAAGTTCAAAATCTTTCTGTTCTTATATTTATTAAAACGACCTTCTGGACGCAATATTTATGCCACATATTCGATTGCTCATTACAGTCACCCTGCAGACCAAAAAAAAAATGAAAATTGTATTTTGTTTTGTTTACCAATTCCTTTTTTCATTTATAACGCGTTAGGTGGTCATCATTTTGGTTTATCGTGCTCTCTAACAAAATAAACACACAAAACCTTAAAAATGTGCTCTCTAACATTTTATTTCCCTTTACCACGCTTACAGCAAAATAATATTTTCAGAACATAAGTTATTTAAATGATTTTTTCGCCTTTAGCAAAGATCACAACCACTTAACTTTAATCTATTTAGTTTCCTTCTGCCACTACCTCAGCGACATCTTTACATGAGGTACGCCACCTAGTGTCAGAATATTAGCAAAAATCTCTCCATCTTTTCAAAATACCACAATATTTGTAAAACCCTCAAATTTCCTTTCTCTCGTACACACTTTTAACTTCCCTTTTGTGGGCATTCTCGACAATTTCGTATCTGTCAGATTTTTGACATTCGTACGTTAGTTCGTTCGTTCGCAGTCGTCAGTTCAGTTCGTTGTGAAAATAGTTTTGTGCAAGTGAAATGTGAATTTACGCAGCTTTTAAACAATATTAATTATGCAAAATAAAGTACGTACATATGTACAGATTAGTAAGCAAATGTTTTATAATAAAGCCATGCGTTTGAATTTGTGTAAATACGAAAGAAAAGTGTAATGATTAACGACGAGGCTTTCTTGACCAAAATGTGTTCCTTTGTATGAGTGTGTGTTGGTGTGTGTATACGCGTATAAACGCTGCTGCAGCGACGCTACTTAACGTGCTCTTCATATATTTCTCGCGCTATTCGTTATTTTCTCATCTGACTGCTTCGTTGCTGCCTACTTCAACTTGTCTCCTCTTTCGCTACTACTTTATCTTCCGTTTTCGTTTACTATTCGTTGGATGGCCGCTCGTCTGCGACTATAGGCAAAACGATTACTACTCTTGTTTTTCGGTTTGATTACGCAGCGCTGCTGCAACTGTCAAAATTTTTGCCGTGTGTCATTTCCACACCATGTCGTCGTCGCCGATTCTATTGGCAAAAATGAAATTTTCGCGAAAAATTTCACTAAATAGCGTTTGAAATTAACAGTGGTAAAAGGTGTTAATTGCTGAAAAGTGTTTAGCAATATAATAATAACAGACTGACGGTGTTTTCTCTCTGTATGTAGTGCTTGCAAATAAGTAAAATATTTAGTAAATTAGTGCAACAAATCGATGTGATTGTGTGCCCATCGCCTGCTTGCTGGCTATTTGCTTGGGAACCGAATTATATGAGAATAGTTTGAATAGCTGGTGCTGCGGCCAGCGCTGCCGTTTTTGGTTTCTGTTTTTCATTAGTTCATTGTTCACTTCGGCTCTTGAAATATGAAAAGCATAAATGTATAAAGAAATAAGCGAAAATTTCGCAAATCTAAATTTTTACACAACGCCAAGTGCAAAGACCGTCAACATCTACGAGTAGTGTGTATGTGAATTTTGCAAATAAATTTGTACATATATATGGATATGTGGATAAATGCGTGTGTATGCTTAAAACAAGTTGAAGAGCAAATACTTAATTATATGCGGCTTTTTGTATAGACAAAAGATGAAATTTTTATAAAAATATTGTTTATCGACGAGTCAATGTGTGTGAAATTCAATTGATTGAAAAACCATTTGCTATTGCCAAACGTTATGTTGCTGCCCTCTTCGTGTGTTCGATAAAAGTGCAGTGTGAAAAAAGAATAAGTTAAAATATTAATTTGGATAATAATTCGCATATTTATACTCTGCATAGGGGTGTCAAAAGGTTTTCAATAGTTCAAGGCTATATAAAATGGTAGTGTCATGCCATAAGTAAAGGTTGGACATATTGTATCATCAATTAAAGTTTATTTGCCACCGTGACCTGTCCGTAATAATTAAAAATATCTATAAACAATGTTTGAAATTTGAACATAGTACTGATAATTTACAAGATGCGACAGCTACCCAGAATTGAATATAAGAAATCACAGAGTTTTGAAAACACGTTTAAAATTGTATTTATATATATTTTTCTACATGCATACCAAAAGAATTCTTATGAATAATAAGCATCATTTGGACCAGGCAAAGTCGCCTGCGTATTGACTTTATTTGCCCTCTATAAGTATAACAAAAAAATATCCAGTATAATTTTTGCATTCCAATCCATTTTGCTTTTCTCCAGTGGCTATATAATCGTTAAATAGCACTGCCAAAGTACGCCACAGCGCAGCAGCATTTTTCCCCGACATCTATAAATGAAGAAGAAAAAAATAAAATAAAACACATATTTTTCTCTTCATTTACTTTTATCACTTTTGCGCTTCACACATTGATTTCTGGCATTTCTGGTTCGCCCTCTGTGCTTGGTCGGCTCTTTCGTCGTCATCGTCGTCGTAGTCGTCTTTGTCGTTTTCATTGTGGTAGTGGTGGTTGGCTGCTGGCTGTTAAAATGTTGATTCACTTTTTCACTTTCCTTGTGCCTGTTTTACGGCTACCTACCAACCGCCTCCAGACTATCATCCTTTCCGGCATGCAGCTCTTTTGCTTGACGATGGGAAGTTACACTACACTAGATCTGCCACTAAAAATATAGTACATAAGAGGCGATGTTCAACGCATAGACACACACGCACACACACACACAATTGTGGCTATGTGCATATAAAGGCGAAAATATAGATGAAAAACTCTAAACCCATTCAATTGTATCAAGCGAATGCCATCAGTTGCGTCCCTATTATTACACGGCCAGCTGTTCCGGTTCTTATCGACATTTGGTGTTATCGATAAATGAATTTTGTATGCTGCTGTTTTTACACTTTTATTTTCATGCCTCTGTTGCATTCCAAATTTAAAATTGTATGATTCATTCCTATCGCCGCAGTTCCGCTTGACTCATCTCTTTTTTTTTTATTTTGATCAGTTTTCATTTACTTCAGTATAATATGCACTCGACAATAAACCACAAATAAAGCGACGAAACTTATTCGAAGAAGAAAATTTGTATTTTTTTTTTTTTTTTTTTTTTTTAAGCTTGAAATGCAAAGTAGAAAAACAAAGGAAAATTATAACATATTCATACGCTGATACATATAAACAATTGCACAATTTTATTTAGATTACAAATAAATGTGTTTTATCGATCGAATATCAGTTTCCGTTTACACCCATTTCCCCACACATTGAGCTACTCAAATACATATGGACATCTGGGTGGATCCCATACTCAAGCCTTTATGCATGCATATTCAAGTAAAATCGAAAGTTTGCATTTCACAGCATTTGACGGGTGAAAAAAATTGTATTTTTGAATTTCTTTCCAATAAAAAATTAGTTGAATACTTCACAAATATAAATATGCGTGTATTTTTTGTTTTTATGTACCAACTGAGCTACTTAAATATTAAGTACGTATGTATATATGTGCATATGTGCACATTAATCACTTCTACCAATATCAACTAAGTTTCTATGTTATCATCACATCCATATTTGTTCGCATTCTTAGACCATTTCACTTTTCACTGCAAAGTCATTCAACAAATCAGAAATGTTAATAACTGTATTGTGAACCCAGAAACAAGGTTATTATGTAGAAAGTTTTGCTGCCACTTATCAGAGTCAAGCACTTACTACTATTTTTAAACGATGATCTACAAGTACATACATAGTATCAGTGGACTTTAAAATAGTAAAAGAACAACAAAGATACTGTAATCTCTTTCTTGTGAATACGAAAGGGAAATGTGAAACTTTGATTGTCTTCTTTTCGAAAGCACATTCCATTTTTCATTTAGAAAAATAATGTTGACATGCACAGTTTTCTAATCTTATTACATTGAGTTGGCATTCTAAATGATATCTCTTCAAACACCAGAGGAAGTGTTTTGAGTTTGTCTTAGCTTAAGAGACAAATCCACTCTTGTGGTCGAAAAATAGAGAAGTTTTTTAAAATTTTATAGGAAAAGATATTTAAATTATATTTAACCATTTCATTGAACATATACTGATATATTTATTTGTTACAAAATGACGTTGATAAAGTCCATTATTTAATTTATGTTTTTTTGAAAGGCATCTGCGGGATGACCGATTGCTTCTAAGGGATGAGACTTATAACAGAAAAGGAAAAAGTTTTTATAATCTACAAACTATGCTCTTTGGAAGTACGCACGGATTTATTTTTTTTAATCATTTTTGTGAAAGCAGCACACTTTTTTTAAATTAAAAATATTGTTTTTATAGTAAAAAAATACGCACTAATTATTAAAAAAAAAAGTTTACATTTTATCGAAAAACGGCTACGTGCTTCCAAAAAAAATGCATTTGTAAAGCTACTATCAAAATTTTAGATAAATCGATGAAATAGCGTTCGAGTAATCTGTCCCTCCAGTTTGAAAAATGTGATTTTGAGAAAAACGCGTTTGAAGTCTTCATTGTACTCAGCGCACGCTCTGAGGAGCTGCTGTAAAATAAAAAGTTCAACTATTTGAAAGATTTTTTTTTTTTCACTTTAAAACCAATTGCATATCATTTCTAGAACCCAAAGGTACCCTGTGAGCAAAAAAAAATCCGTTATAACCAATGAAGTAGTATACGTAGCTCAAATGCTCGATCTGCTCTAAAATGTTCGCTCAAAACATTGAGCTGTACTTTATATATGTAAGCTTAACGGTTTTTTTTTTGTTGGTTCAACTGTTTGCACAACTTTTAAGAAAAAAAATTTATGGCACATTGATTGTGTTATCGATTCATTTAGTATATCACTGTTGCATAATTTTTTCAATTTTGTTATATACACACAAAATATCGAAAATTTTCATACAAAAAAATTTTAAATAATTAAAAGTTAGCCTAAAAAGGGGGGGAAAAAAGCTTGTAAAAACTAGTTTTTAATAATTTTTATAATGATTTGCTCGCTTCAGGAGAAAAATTATTTACTATGATTCAAGTAAAGATTTTATTCAACCAATTTGACGAAATTCTTCACAATTTAAGAAAGAGTGGTAATTTTCTAGTAAGTATTGTTTTACTGATCTGCTCATTAAAAATTTGGTATTTTAAAAGCAAAGACCTAAAGAACAACAGTAACTAAGTAATAAAAATTAATCATAAAATCTTTGGAAATTTTACTTATTTTAATTTTTTTATTTTCTATTATCATTTTGTGTATGAAAATATTTTATCATAAATCGATTGTGTTGTCGATACTTGAATGTGATCTCAGAACAAAAAATTTCAGTTTCTTTTATCATACTATTTTTTAAGCGAAATTTAGCACGCAGCCGAAAAACAAATTTGTAGTATTTACAACGAAATTTACGCAATGAAATCGTCAACTAAGTACCAATAAAAAAAAAATAATAAAATGTCTCTTATTCTTTTACTACAAATTAGAAAAAAAAATTTTATGAAATTCAACTTGTGTTAATGCACCAACTTACCGTCTGTCACTGTGAATTTTTCTATTGCACTTTTTCTTCTTAATGCAAATTTGTTTCAATTTTCTGACAATGCTAAAGTCCCAAAGGGTATGATAAGATGGGTTTTTTTTTTTGATTAGAGAAAAGTAGTGAGAGTCAATCGCACAGTCCGAAAAGCGAATACAAAGTCAAAAAGGTTTTTTCGTTTGCAATTACGTATAAAATATAGGGGACTAGCCGCATAAACTATTATTTATTTGGTAAACAAAATCGATCTGAAAATAAACGAAAAAGATGAAGTTTCACACCAGGCCATTTCAGGTTTTGTGCTGCTTCTTCTAAGGATTGAAATTTGAATTAGTAAATCACAGCAGCACATAATAAACGAAGATAACTGTATTACATAAATTGGTAGAGAAGAATCAGAGAAAAGTAATGTATCGATTAAAATCCGATAAACGTAAGCCAAGCTTGACTTTTGAAATAATTTCAAATAATTAATTGTGTTTTAGATCTTCTTGTAACTTACCAACCACCAGAGAGGGAGGCATGAATGAGACGTTAGAACATCTACTCTGTTTCTGACCCAACCTAATCTAACCTATACACCCCCTTCAAGTACATCTTAGGATATAATAAAATATTTAGACTCATTTCATCGTGTCAATTTTACGAAAAATGTATGAACTGTGTTCGAAAATTCTTTGAAACAACTGAGCATGAAAA